TATAGTCCTTTAGATTAGCAAACTATATATATATTTAGTGCTTTATTCTCAAACTGTTTCACCACAAATGACAGCTCATTTCACAAACAGCTTATCTTATGGCTAAAGATATATAAATACATACTAAAAATGCTGCTGAAAGTCTCTGAATGTATAATGCAGCCTGGTAGACATGGTAGTGATTGTAACACTGCATTGTAGACACAAATGTTAAAGAAACTTGGCAAGAAGCAACACATTTTAGCTACTCAAAATTCAGAATTTCTCAGACTTGTCCCCTTCTGATGAATGGAACATATGGGAGTATTGTTCATAAAACTTACATTGCTTTTCTTGATGTCTACCAAAATTCCTCATCATGACAATATTTACCAAGATACATACAGATTCAAATTTGAATTAATTACCCAGAAGTTTTTCTGTACTTCCAGGTTTACTGGAAAAGAAAACCACTTCAGAAGCAATGTGTTGTGAGTATTTAACAGTAGATGTTATAGCAACAGAGGTAGCAGAGTGCTTGCTGGGGAAGGGTGCTATCCAGTTAAAAGCCATCAGTGCCGAGCGAGATAAAAGACAGGGAAGAAAGCAGCTGCTTTGCCAAGAAGCAGTTTGAAATCTGACATTATAAACAAAACACATGTAAATCTAGACATAAATCCTCGCTCCTGTGCTGAAGGCTCCATAATATTTTAGCTAGCATTATTACTTACAAACAAACACTTCCTGGAACACAGCATCGCAACTGCAGAACAGCCTTTAACCTCGTGTTCATCCACTCGAGAGCCGTGTTATTTATTATCCTTTATCCCTTAATTATGGGGACTTCACCTACTGCTCTCTGCTCATTTGAAATGCAGAATAAAATACAATGGATGTCTGAAGACTTAACAGGTGTCAACCAGATATTTGCCAGCTACTGCTACTATTCTACTGGGAGGAGTTGCTGTTCTATAAATACTAATTAGAGTTTTGCACATGATCTTGCTGAAATACCTAAGGTGATGAGTGGCCAGTTGTTACTTTTAAAAGATTAGCACAATTTGAAAAACTAATGTCCCCAATGAGGCAATGCTCACACTGAATAATCAAGAGTTATAGCTGCTCTCTGCCCAAAGGGAATATTTGCTCACTTCATCATTTGGAAAATCTGCTGCCTCTCGAACAACTCACTCTTCTATTTAACTTTGAGAAACTTGTAAAACTTCACGCAATCAATATAATGGTATGGTATATGTACCTGGATGGGCTTCCACTGCTAGGCCACATGGTAGGCTTTACTAACACCTTCCAAAGACAGAGCTTTTAGTGGGAAATCATGATTAAGAAACTGCAACAAAATAATGTTGCACTTAAATGAAGCCCCAAAGAAAAATAAGATTATAGTAGAAAGTCCATAAACATAGCAAAAATTTAATGTCCTCAGATCCACCTCCCTTCAAATTTTTCACTTCTACTGAACAGACAGAAAAAACCCAGACAAAGGCAAATCTGAACAGGTCTCCATGATATTGAGTTTTTATATATTATATACATTAATTTTTGATTTTAAAAAAACACTAACTCTCTAAAATCTCAGTGCAACATATCTGAACAACCAGCTAATTTCAAGCAAAGCGCTAAAGTGACCGAAGATGAACCATTCCTTTGGTTTGTAATAAAATCTCGAGTTTCATCTTGTCCAATTTGCTATGGAAAGCAACTGATATCACATTGTGTGACAAAATGCTGTATTTCTGTATATGAGCTGTGATTCAATGCAGTGAAATTTGACTGATACAACAGACACAACCCTGCACTATTTAGTGTTCGTGACCATGTATGGGGACAACCTAAATCATTTTAATCAGAATTTATTTTTCAGGGGTTTTGGGGGGTTTTTTAATCTTTTTTCTTTACCATGAAACCTGTTTTTTCCTTATCCTTCAACATCCTGCTTCCTCTTTTCCAGTAGCTCATTACTGGAAACGTTTGGCCTTACTTCAAAAGAGAAGAATATGTCAACAGCAGAACATCTGTGTCCACACAGAGTGCTTTGATGACAGTGATATACTCCATTTACATCAGTAACACTGAGCTGAACCTTGATGCTGTCTGCATTTAAAGATCTTACCCCACAGGGCAAGAGAATACAGGTCAAAAACGTTGATCTCTGTTTGACACACTCTCTACTTCAAGAGCACTTGGCAGCGATTTGTTCCACAGTCAAGAATCAAACTCACAAAACGTTGCAGAGCTCGGAGCCATGTTTGCATAACCACATTCAAAACAAACATTAAAATTCAGTCTCTGGAGGCCAATCTACTGCTGATATGCAGGGGTTTGTGAGCAATATGGTCAAATTCCAGCCTGAATGAAGTGGGAACTTTCTCATATAAATCAAAAGGGCGTAACTCAGGTTTGGGTATCTGTTATTAAGAGGAGTGATGTTCCTACATCTTTCAAATGCAAAAAGGACACTTTATCCCTCTAAAACTCAAACTTGATTGTATAAAAGGGGGAGTGGACTAGTTATGTGTGACACAGAATCGCATCTATCAGCATGGCCAGAGGAAGTTGGGTAATTTAGGTATGGAACACGTGTCTCCACAGCCAGGCACAATAATAAACTCCTCACATATTTCATACGGAGGAGTTCAGAAATAAAGGCTGAACTACAGACTATTTGGAGCCCATGGCTTCTGGTAATCATCCTTTTTAACTTGACTTTAAAACATTTAGTGTTTCTTCAGCTTTTTGTAACGAATATATCATTCTCTAATTTAATTACAATATGTCCACTAAACAGCCACGGTGACATGAATCCCAATATAAGGTGGAGAGTTTCAATAGTTTCCTTCCACACCTTCCTACCCTCGTGCAAAGCTCAGCACTTTTGCAGCATTGAATGATTCAGTATTGCTCACAAGACTAATATATCCAAAACATGAGAGGGGATCAAATCGATGCAGTTGGATATTGCCCTGTTGGTGTTCAAGGCCCACAACCACCTGTGTGCTGCATTAGCACCTGCAAGGACCAGCAAATCCTCTTTCAGCAAACAGAAAAGGAGAAAATTTTGTTTACAGGTTTCACTAGAATGCCATGGAAACAGATACAGAGGTAACTGTGAAAGGCATAATCCAAATGGAAGACAGCCCTAATAGAACTCGCATATCCAAAAATAATATGTATGTTTTCCCACTTGGAAAACACATGCCTGAATCCTATTAACGTCAAGACAGAAAATTATACTGAGTAGACCCCAATATCACTAAGGTCCCTGATAACAGTATGAATTAATGTGCACCTTCAAAGTAGAGCAAGATGTTTTCATATGCAGACTATTAGAAAAAAAATACATCTTAATAGAATAATCAACTTTTTAAAGAAAAAAAAAATACATCTTGAATTTTTGAAACAGGATTAAAGTATGGTAGTAGCCCTCTAAAAGGAAGCTGCTCAGCACCTGCTGCCTACACTGTGCCTGGCTCCAGGCAATGTTATTCATTCCTCGCTTTCATGGGAGCAAAATACAACCTCTAAAAATATAAAACACAAAAATAAATAGATCTCTGGGGAAATGGAAGAGAAATCTGTTTTAAAAATAGTGAGAAGCCTATATGTTCTAAAAAAATAAGTCCATTTTGCATTGTTTTGTAAGATTTACACTTTAATTTGAAACCAAAGTAAGGCATAAAATTTGTATGAAAGCAATATCTGATTTATAGATGAAGTTAAAACACAATATACTTAGCTGCAAATACCAGACCCCAGTGAGAGAAGGAAAAGGTTCTGAAAGATGATTAAAGTATGCTTGATAAATGTGGCCCTGCAATGCCCCAAAAGGTTTTTCTGAAGTTAAGTGGTAAACACAATTAACATGACTTTTGCTACAAAAACACTAAACGCAATGGATTTTTTTAATTAATTTTCAATGTTATTACATGTTCCTATCGAGCTGGAATTGACTCAATCCACTAACTGTACTGAGAGACAGCTCTTCTGTCCACATGACCTTAACATCTAGACAAAAAAACAAATATCCATTCTGCTGGTCACATGAAGAGGAAGCCACGCAATAACAATGCTCTTATGACCACCAAAAGTTAACATCTTGTGAGTAGAAATTTTCTGACGGTTGAAGCATTTAAGAAAGATATATTTGTAAGGCTCAGGGAATGTCCAGCTTGATTAAATGTATTCTTAATTAGCCAATAAAAAGCAGCAGCTGTGAAGGCTGACAAGAACCCCTTACTGTACACTTCTGGCCTAACCTCACTATCCATATTCAAACAAGTCTCCTGGCAAAGGCAAATCATATAATTCTTGGGAGTCTCGCACGCATTCGGACTCACCAGATTTACATATTATTATTCACAGGAGAGGTTTCATTACATTTGCTTTGAGAAAATGTACCATCTATATGGGTATTCACGTGTTTAATATGCACATGCCTTTCCATTTTGTATTTATTATAGAGCTTATGAGGAGGTTGTTTGGCCTCCTTCTGTCTCAGACTGTGGCACTGCTCACTCATGTGAGGTCAACTCACATGGCAGAGCTCACCTTCCTCCATCACACTCCAACCACCCCAAAACAGGAAGAACAATTCCAAGATGCTTTTCAGAACCAGTGCAGCCACCAGTCCATCTCCCAAACTGTTTGCAAGCTTTTTGGGGCAGACTGTCAGCTGATACAGCCCAAAACTGGGACAGGGACTGTCCTCACCGTTGGACGGTTTGGCCCAAGCCTTGACTGTTCAGTTTGCTTGAATGGACTTCAATTCAGTCATGCTACTTGAAACCAGGCACTACAACACACCAGAGCAGCAAGGCTGGAAGGGGCCTCTAGAATTCATACCATCCATCTGCTCCAAGGAGAACCTGTGCTCACAACGCTGCAGGATCAAATTTCTCACACTCTACTTATATAAAGGTGCCCCTAAGTCACAGGGGCTTTGCTACAAGTGTCAAGTACAACACTTTTATCTCATAAAGCAAGTCTTTGAGAGTATAACTTACCATTTTGGTCTGCTGGTGGATTTCACCATTGGAGCCATCCCATCTCTATAGAGGCTTTTTGTTTTACTGAAGTTGACAACATTGAAAATTACTCTCTGGGGGGAAAAAAAAAGGAAAAGAAAAGAGATCAGGTAAAAAATCTCAAAGAATTTTTATGTGTGCTGCCTACACCAGCTGCATAAGAATATACAGAGATAATATACAATATAGATGTGTGTCTTATGAATTATTGTTACTCTCAATAGATCTTAGATAATGAATATCCTGCCTGTTCCACATATTTAAATTGTCTGTGTTGTTTTACACTGCATCAACACACACGAAATGTATGTTTTTAATTTAGTATGTTGATCTTTCAGCAGGCATTCTAGCCACATAAAGAAATAGGTTGCTCAGATCTGAAAACAGTAAAGCAAGTCCAGTTTGCTGCAGTGAACATTATAGAGGTTGGTGGAAAGTTGGGGTATCAATCCTCATGAAAACCTTCTAACTGCTCCAAAGAATCCTAGAGTAGAATCATAGAATCACTGAGCTTGGAAAAGACCTCCAAGATCATCAAGTGCAACCATTAACCCAGCACTGTCAATCCCACCACTGAACCATGTCCCTAAGCACCACATCTACACGTCTTTTAAATCTCAGACACTCAAACTCTTCCCTGTGTAGTCTGTTTCAATGCCTGACAATCTTTTCAGGGAAGAAACTTTTCCTAACATCCAACCTAAAAGTCCCCTGGCACAACTTGAGGCCATTTCCTCTTGCCCTATTGCTTGCTATCCAGGAGAAGAGACTGATCCCCACCTGGCTATAGCCTCCTTTCAGGTAGTTTTAGTGATTGATAAGGTCTGCCCTGAGTCTTCTTTTCTCCAGACTAAACACCCCCAGCTCCCTCAGCCTCTCCTCATCACACTTGTGCTCCAGACCCTTCACCAGCTCTGTTGCCCTTCTCTGGGCTCACTCCAGCCCCTCAATGTCTTCCTTGTCGTGAGGGGCCCAGAACTGGACACAGGATTCGAGGTGTGGCCTCACCAGTGCTGAGAACAGGGGGACAATCCCTGCCCTGGTCCTGCTGGCCACACCACTTCTCACACAGGCCAGGATGCCACTGGCCTTCTTGCCCACCTGGGCACACACTGGCTTGTGTTCAGCTGCTGTTGACCAGCAACCCCTCATCCTTTCCAGCCACTCTGCTCCCATCCCACAGAGCTGCAGGGGGTTGTTGTGACCCAAGTGTGTGACCCAGCACTTTGCCTGCTGAATCTCATCCAGTTGGCCTCAACCCATTGATCCAGCCTGTCCAGATCCCTCTGCAGAGCCTTCCTGCCCTCCAGCAGATCAACACTTCTGCCTGACTTGGTGTCATCTGCAAACAGACCGAGAGTGCACTCAATCCCTACACCTGTTTAGGCTTCACACAGCATCAGTTAAAAAAAAAAAAAAAAAGTTTTCTGATTTCTTTTTCCAAAGACAGGAATATTTCTCTTCCTTTCCCATGGCAAAAGGAAGAATTTTCCTCTGTAAATAGTGTACAGGATACCTACAAAGAAAGTGCACATAGCCTTTAATTGTTTGAATATGATGGAGAAGAAGAAAAGATTCCAAATCTGATCTTAATTTACACTAAAACTTCAGGAAAACTGTAGCTGATATCTAACAGGTCAAGGGAAGAGCAAAATTTAGATCTTTAAGGGTAATGGACTGATACTGAAAGGAAATTCATGCAGGGGAAAGACAAGAGAAGACAGAGACAAAACCTTCCTTACCATCTGTCTGCTCTAAGTCATTTTACACAAAGTTACTTATTCTGTTTCTGTTAAGAAAATCTAAATTGGATGTAGCTCATCTCACATAATACATTGACTTTTCAGCTGGTAAAGGCAGTATTCCTCATTTGTCATACTCTCTTGATACCCCATATTAATGTACACAGAAAAAACAAAACACGAAGACTAAAGTAATTTTAATGTAATAGTCCCGGATATATTGATACATTTAATTTCTACCTCTCTCTTTACACTTCTTTTTCACAGGTAGCAGTGAAGACAGACCACTAAAAATGATATTCACACATTTGTTTTTAGAACAGCCTATTGTAATGCTTGCATTCTTACATAATGGTTCATGAGTAGCCTTAGAACTGAACAGTCACTGACTAAAATCAGGCAATTTTGACTGAAACAATAAGATCAATTAAACTATCATCTGTAAAACTTTGCAAAAACCAATCTGGACTTTCCAGGCAGTCTGCTCAGGCAACAGTGAATTGAAGTGAAAGCAGTCAGCAGTGGGACATGGACAACGGGAACCAGGCACATTTACACTGATATGAGGGGCAGGTAGGGAGCCAGGTAAACTACACAGCACTGAGTGAATAGCTCTGTACTCAAGAAAAATTAAGCAAGTTTTTTCGAGGTAAGGTAGTGCTGAAGAATCTGTAAATGGGAGCACAAACTTCTATGTGTGCGAACTCCATAAATTAGTAAAAAAAAAAAAAAAAAAAAAAAATAACCTGTAGTTTTGACTAGAACTGACTTGAAAAATTAGCAAGTTGAGAAAAACACTTTCTTGAAGACGTTAATTCAATTTTGCACCAAAGGTAATAAGGAAACTACAGGTGCCTGCACATGAGGTTCCATATATTTTGAGATTTTCCAATGGTCATGAGATGAACTTATTTTTATGACTCCGGATGAAAACATGCACTTAGTTTACAAAATGTTATGTTTGCAATTTTAAGTATCTGATTATCTTCCATCATCTCATGTTTACAATATATAGCTCTAAGTTCCAGAATGGTATTTAGGTCTCTATACATTTCATGCTCTACATGGAAGCACTTCCCCATATTAGAATGCCCAGATTTTCCTCTGTTACTTAACTCTGTTCATATTTGTGAAAACAAATTAAGTTGCAACAAATTGGTTTGTTAATCTTGATGTTTGCATGGAGCGAATGAAACAAACAAGATCTCCAAACCAATTGCCTTAAACTTTGGATGCAATCATGTCACTGTTGGAAAGAGAAAGTTGCTAATTTTGTTGCGTACTGACTCAGAGCAGACAGCTGGTAGAGAATGTTCTTATTCCAATCAAGCTTATTTTGTATAATGAGTTGGGCAAATGTACACAACTGGGTAAGCAATGTATATAAAAACAAAAATATGCAGCTCATTTAACAAAACAGTGCAGATTCTAACATTTTGAGCAGCCGTGTTCGCCGCGGAGGAAGCGGTTAGCAGGGCGTGCCATTCTCCCAGCGTGGCACGGAGCGAGACCGGCAGAACCAAAAATTTAACAGCACAGAGCAGAACTTTATCAACACACACCACTGGAGTAATAAAGCACACAAACCGAAGCACTCAAATGAGCAGCTGAACTCTGTCAAGTGTTCCCGGTGATAGTTAAAGTAGTTCATGCAGCTCAGGCAGTGGAGTGTGCAAAAATGTAATGACTACAGGACACACGCTGCATACACACACTGCAAAAATATGCAGCTTGCTCAATAAGGTATGCAAACATCTCCGAGCTCAATGCTGTAATAAAAAGGTTGTGATACAGCAATCAAAGTTTCGCTGAACAAATCTAATTCTTAGTCTCGTTTCTATCTATGTCGACTGTGCACTGTAAAGGGAAAAAGGACTAGATAAACACTGTGCACATCAAACTGTTTTTTCACAAGAAAATTATCATTATTCTGTATGATTTTATGAATTATAGAGATGTACAATGGGTGTCATTTAATAGGTAATATAATTCAGATACTCATTTACGAGTATTTAAGAATTTAGGAAATGTTAAAGAAAAAAAAACCTGGATTAAATGTACTTACAAATTCCCTAGAAATCACTCTGGTCTCCAGAGCATCAAGACAGAGAGAAATGGTGAAAAATTTTTATATAAAAATGCTTGTTGGGTATTTTGTAGGGTACGAATATCACTAAAAGATGAAATATTCAAACTAAATTATATTCGTTTCTGAATACTGAAAGAGAAGCAATATTAAAACTGAAAATATTCATATCTGAATTTTCAGAAACCGTAATTGTGTGGTTTCACTTCAGTTACGATAAAACCTTAAATATATTGCATTATTCTCACAAACTGATCTGCAACTTCTGGGTAGGTGGAAGAAGCATGGTGTAGAACAGGCTCTTGGGACACCACCAAGTAAAACCATGCTCTTGAGGGATGCATCAGGATGGATTGTGGCTTCACAGCATGAGGAAAGGCAACTGCTGCAGTCTCAGGCTCTGTGCGTGGGCTGCCAGATCCGAGACAGATGCTGGAGAACATGAGGCAAGGCAGGTATGTTCTACCCATCAAGAGAAAAAGGAAGATTTCCTATTTCCATAATGTGTGCAGTAAGTTGGAATTTGAAGGTATCTTGCTGCTAAAACCATTAAGAGAGAAAAGCAAGGAAAAGCTTAGTCCTGCCTTTAGCCTTAAAACTTACTGATTAAATCTACTTTTCTCAATAGTCCTTTGCAAACCTATTTCAGGAATTAAAAGCACAAATAGGTATTAAGTGCTAAGTGTGTTTAACACGAGCAGGATAAAGATGAACCAGGAACATAAAGGGGAAAAGATGGCTGAAATACATTACATATTTTTTCTTACTACCAGCAGTTTGCTGTTTCCTGACTGGGACTGGAAGGAGCTGCTCTAGTTTTGGTGGCCAAGCACACATCTGGGTGGTTTTGGTTTGGAGCTGAAAGCATCAAGTGGGGATTGTCATATTGAGCATCATATTCCCACAGGTCTGTGGGAGCACAAGGTGAATTGTAATCTCTAAAACATTCATTGTTCACCCACCTCCTGGCAGGTTTTCCATCTGAACCTACCAACTGAGGCAGGTATCCCAAAGAAAGTCACACCTTTGACAAAGGTTAAGTGCCTTCCCCCAGGATAAGGATGCACCAGGTCCCTTCAAAAAGGCTCCCAGGTTAATTTTGCATGGTTTTCCCTGGCTGGCTTCTCACAGAAATAGCTGAGTTCCTTTGGCTGACATTAAAAGAAGGGAAAAAAAAAAACAAACACACCATAGAACACCACAAAATTCTGCCTGAGGCAGACACCTGGCACGGAAAATTTTGTGT